AAGATGTCCAGTACCTTCCTTTTGCTTAGGTTGATGGGACCAATGTGGTAGGGCCAAACAGCAGTTTGTAGTCTAAAGAAACTAAATCTTCAATATTGGACAACTTTTTCAATTGCTGTTGAAAAATGCTATAACTTTGGTCTATGTTTTTTTGTTCCTTTGTGTGGTTTTTTGTTTCATTTTTGTTTTTGTTGTTTTTTCCCCCCTTTTCTTTAAGTCCTGGCCCGAGGGCCCTAAAGTTCAAAGCTGGCAGGGTTCACGATGCGATACCTGAAGATGGGGGTCCTGGGTCAGAGCTGCAGGGGTGTGTCCCAATTCAAGTCCACTCCCACTGTCCGCTGTGTCTGTGTGCGGGACCTTGGCCAGTCCCAAAGTTCAGAGTTGGCAGGGGTCGCGAGCTGGGTCGGGTCAGAGCTGGCGGAGGGGGTCGGGAGCTGGGTCGGGGGAGCGATGCGATACCTGAAAATGGGGGTCGTGGGTCAGAGTTGCAGGGGTGTGACCCAATTCAAGTTCATTCCCACCGTCCACTGTGTCTGTGCGCGGGACTAAAATTATTTTTTTTTAAAAAAGTTGATCATTTTGGTGGGCCTGCCCCCCCCCACCTCCTGCTCACCACAGCCCCGCACGCACATGGCTGGCCAAGCACACATGCTAAGTGCTGAAGAGAGGGACCAGCTGCTGCCGAACTTGAGAGCTGTGGGCTAGAGTGAGGTGGAAGGCCGTGATGCTATCTTTAAGCAGTTTCATTTCAAAGACTTCAATAGGGCCTTTGGGTTCATGACAAGGGTGGCCCTGCAGGCTGAGAAACTCGACCACCATCCCGAATGGTTTAACGTGTACAACAAGATCCATATCACCCTGAGCACTCATGAGTGTGCAGGACTTTCTGAGTGGGACATAAACCTGGCCAGTTTCATCGAACAAGTAGCTGTGTCCGTGACATAGGCCCGGTCTTTCCTCAAATTCCTCACGGGAGTAGGGTGACTGAATTGGGAATCCTGGGAGGAAGGTGAGGAGCCCTTGGTCCCAAGCCCCTGCTGTGTCACCACTTCCAGATCCGCCCTCTCGCCTATTTTAGGGTGAGCCCCTCCATGCCTCGAGTTGCCAGTATAATAATTTGAGTAAGTCCTTCTCTTTCATTTCAACTTCCCAGTAAGCCATCATTTTCTTTCCAAGATGCACCCATTCTGATTCATTCCCCAGGACACTGTGATAGAGGGGGGCGCTAAACATGACCCTTAAAAGTCAACACCAGGACATGCTTTACGCCTCAAACAAAGCTTTTATGTTGCTCACTGGGGGGGAAAAGTTGTTAATTTCCTGTTTTATTCTAATATTTATTAATTAGCTTAGTGGACTCATTTCTTCTTGAAAAACGTATTTTCTTTGAATCTTTGTTTTGACTAAAAGCACCAAGTAGGTATTTTCTGAAATGACTTTTCCTTTTTTGTATCTGATCATTTTTCACAACAGAGATCTGTTTTCTTTGCTAGGGGAGAAAACAGAGGACTGTTTTCTTTTCTAAAGGAAGTGAAAATACTCCCTTTGTCTTGTGCTGCAGAATTTTTTCATCCACTAAAGTTTGAGAATATTTCTCTTTGAAAGAGACGAGATCACTTTAAGATGAGATATTGTAAAGAGATTCTATTCTTGGACCAGTCTTATCTCCTTGACCATTCCCATTGCAATCCACGCAGATCTGGATTTTTTAAAAAAAATAAAGTACTATATTTAATTTTTAATTCTGTGATTGCAATTTGAAGCATATTTGTCATTTGTGAGAATATTTGATGTTAATATTTTAATTGTATATGTGCATTTAATCTTAATGGAATAAATTTGAGAATGTCTAAAATAGTACATCATTAAATTTGATAAAAATATCAAGATAATTATGAGAACTTCATCTGAAGCATTTCCCCCTTATATATGCATGAGTGGGGAATTGATTTTTTTGTTGGTTTTTTTTTATTTTAATGAATGTTTACATAGATTTTGGATTTCCATTCATTCATTGTTGCCTTTTTCTCCCTACCCACCCCTTCCCCCCCCCCAGTTCGCTCTTCTCTTGAAAAGTAAAAGAAAAATTCTTTCACTGGTACATAATCTCCCCACCCCGGCCCAGAGTACACTCCACTACGCCATATGACATAGATGATAAGAGTCCAGAATGAAGGTTACACAGTGGAATTCCTTTTTCCCCTCTCTTTTATTTATTCTTTGATTCATATTTTCTCCTTCCTTCCATCTCCCTCCCTTAGCTTACCTGCAGTATACCCCTTGTTCAAGATTGTTCTCATACATATAATAATCATACTCCTTTCAACGAGTTCTTTCCTTCATCTATTCTAATGCAGTTCATTATCTTTCCATTCTTTACTTTTACATTCCCTCTCCAACTTCCCCCAGCCAGTATTTGTTCTATTTTGTAACCATACTGTTATGCAGTATTTATCATTTATGACTGAGATATTCCACTTAGCATAATTTTAATAGACATCAGTGAAATCAATTACCAGTCCAACTCACCCTACTTACCTAGCAGTTATTTAGTATGAGTCTAATCGGTTCACTATGGACTTTTAGGGGAACAAATAGGTTCATCTCAGAGAGGATGAGACGAGGCTGCTCCTTGGAGGCAAGGATTCTGAAGTTTTGTCTGACATACTTTGATCATGTTGCAAGGCAGGACCAGTCCTTGGAGAAGGATGTCATGCTTGGGAGGGTGGACGGACAGCTCAGGAAAGGAAGACCCTCGATGAAATGGATTGATTCAGTGACTGGGGTAAAGGGGTAGGTGTGTCAGAGACAATAAACTTGGCACAGGATGGAGCAGGGTTTAGGGCTACTGTACATAGGAATGCTATGAGTTGCAGGTAACTCGATAGCACATAACAACGACAACTGGTTGAACTCTCTTCAGCCTTAAAGTCTTGAGTCTGAATGCCCGAGAGCCTAATATAGTCTGCAGTCTATATAGGCACAATATGTGAAAGACTAAATTTCCTATAGCTATACTACTGAAAAAGAGTTCTTTGGATAGGCACAGCTCTCTGAACAATGAAAGAAATACCAACATGTAATGAACTAGTCAGATCTTTTAACAATGTGAAAGAAGAATTTTGTATTTGTTGAATCTAATAAAACTTGGGCTTTTGCTTTGTATGTCTTTGCCTTTTTTAATTTTCTTTTTCCAATGATTCATGCTTATTGATTTCACAAACTAATTGATCCATGATGGATTGAAAATGGGGGAAAAAAACAAAACCACACACCAAGAATACCACCGTAGTCCTTAACCACAGATGGGAGTTGTTCTAGGGCAGTGCTTCTCAAACCAAGTGTCCCCTTCACCTTTCTCTACTGCCAATTCATTTTCCAAGATGGTTTGTGAGAGTGCCTGGGTGAGAAGGTGTGGCAGAGCCATAGGAAGAGTAAGACCTTAACTCTGTCTCTGTCTTAGAAATCTCTCACCTGTATGGGTTGGTGGCTGCCAAATTGTCTCATAATGTTGTCAGAGATGACAAATTCTAGATAGAAAGTGGAAGTCTATGGAAATCCTTCCCTTGCTTCTTCACTGTGAATCGTTTTGTATGAGTCAGGGGACAAGACTGTGTAGTTGAATACAACCTCCTCAATAATGCATAGAGCAGAATGAAACCTCCACCCCTGTCTTTGTTCATGCCCTTGAAATGTATACCCTTGTATAATTTGTCACACTTTGGCCAGAACTCAGGAATTATTTTTTTACCTTTTTATTTCTTTATTTTATATTATTTATTTTAACAAAAGTTTACAGAAACGTTGAGTTTTCATTCATTCATTCATTGTTGCACATTTTCCTTCTTCCCCTTCCCTTCCTCTCCCTAAGACCACTTTGCAGATTGTTGTCATACTCAGGAATTCTTCAGAGATTAAAACAGACACTCTTAGCATGCCTCTGGCTTGACTAGGGAATCTCTCTTAGCTGTATGGGCAATTAGGTTGCACCATTCCAAGTACTGTTATGAAGTTATGTTTCCCCTACTCTCTATCTGTATCTAAGTGTAAGGCATAGTATTTGTCACTGTGATCTTTTATTGTTTGGAATCAATACTGACTATAGAGATACCTGGGAGATATTTCTTGGTCTCATATCCTGACATCTCACACTAACAATGCCTTCTTCTAGTACAATAACAGTAACATAAAACAGGGCATGAATGACATCATAGCTCTCTGACACTCTATGACTTCCCTTCTTGTTTCCATCAAACTCATTGACCTGACGTCTGGGTTATTTGACAGATTATGAAACTACTTAATTTATTTTATTATTTACTAAGATGTTGTTATCAATTAATTGATAATATATCTCTTTCCCCCATTGTCCATATGTCCCCATCCCTTCTATCAGAGAGATACATGGAATAATATTAACAGCAACAACAATAATAACTTTAGTTGGAGTTCTAGGGAAGAAAAGAGAACAACTCTTAACAAACAGTATAATATTGCTTGTAACTTTGCCAGACATAGGTCTAGAAAAGAGACAAATGTCCCTCTTTTTAAGTAGTAGAATTCATGATGGTCTTCTTTGGAGAAAGCCTGATTCAGAGATGACCTGTGAAATAAAATCTGTTAGATAAACTTTGACTTTGGATTAAGAATTCACATCCATCCTCATGAGCCTAAACTTAATTGAGGATAATTTTTTGCACTTAGGGAAATTGAGCACCACAACAAGAGAAAGGTAAACAACCCAATTGAAAAATGGGCACAGGATATGAACAGGCACTTCACCAAAGAAGACATTTAGATGGCAAACAAACACATGAAGATATGTTCAAAATCCCTACCTCTAAGAGAGATGCAAATCAAAACAACTATGAGATATCATATCACCCCAGTAAGAATAGCAAAATTTAACCGAACAGCAAATAACAAATGCTGGAGAGGTTGCAAAGAAACTGTAACCCTTATACATTCTTGGTGGCAGTGTAAAATGGTGCAACCACTATGGAAGGAGGTATGGCTCTTTCTCAAAAAGTTGGAAATAGAAATACATTTTGACCCAGGAACTCCACTACTGAAATATACCCTAATGAAACCATAACTGCTACCCAAGCACATATATGAACACATGTTTTTTGCTGCAAAGAGTTGGAAACAACCCAAGTGCCTATCAAGAAACAAATGGACAGGGAAGCTGTGGTATATTCACACAATGGAATACTATGCTGCATTGAAAAACAAAGAACTCATGTATTATTGTACAAAATGGGCAGGACATTATGCTGAGTGAAATATCTTGGTCACCAAAGGACAAATACTACGTAATGCCACTGTTGTAAAGTGGGAGTGACATCTACTTAAATGATTTAGAAAAATAGAAAAAGAAGGAATGCTCCCAGGCAAAGATATTACCAAGAAAGAAAACTACAGACCAATATCTCCCATGAACATAGATGCAAAAATCCTTAACAAAATACTGGCCAATAGAATCCAACAGCATATTAAAAAAATTCATAATGACCAAATGGGATTCATAACAGGTATGCAAGAATGGTTCAACAGAAGAAAACAATCTGTGTAATTCATCACATTAACAAATCAAATAACAAGAACCATATAAACTTAGCTATTAATGCAGAAAAGGCATATGACAAAATCCAATACCCGTTCTTCAGCCAGATTGGAATAGAAAGTAACTTCCTCAACAGAGTGAAAGTATATACACAAAACCAAGAGCCACTGGTATTCTCAATGGAGAAAGACTAAAAGCATTTTTCTTGTCTATAGGGACCACACAAGAATATCCACCGTCATCACTTCTATTCAATATTGTATTGGAAGTATTAGCTAGGGCAATTTGACAAGAGAAGAAAATAAAAGGCATCTGTTGTTGTTACTGTTATGTACCTTTAAGTCATCTATGACTCATAGCAACCGTATGTACAACCCTAAATCCTGCCAATCTCTGACACCCCTACCTCCATTTCTCCAGTCACTGAATCAATCTCATTGAGGGTCTTCT